TAGAAAAGCAGTAAATGTTCTGCAGACAGCACATGATATTTTAGAAAAGCGACTGCATTACAGGATTTAAATCTTTTAAAGGTGAATTAAGGCAAGACAAATTTCTAAAGTTTGATATCAAAGCAATGAAAGAGAGAAGACATTTCAAAACAACAGTATAAAATGGAATGTGCTCTTGAATTTTATACAGCAGTTTTCACTTCATTCCTTCATTCATCCATCCATTTACTCATTTATGTAGTACTAAAGCCCTGTGAGGAGACATAACTGACTGAGGAGTTTACATCTTAGATTAGGTGGTTAAGAATGTCCTTCCAAGGATGGGAAATGAACTGAGTTCTGAATGTCACATGAAGAAAGTTAAATGGAGAGAACCAAGCAAAGAAACTTCCAGGCAAAATAATGAACCACAATAGGTTTTGAAGTACAAATAAGGAATAAAATTCATGGAACACCAAGAAAATGGGTGCAATAGAATTGTAAAATTAAAAAGAGCTATTGGGTAGAGGTGTGTATATCTACTACTGGGCTGGAGGCAGGGCGGGGGCGCGGGGGAGGCAGATCATGCAGAGGGACCTGAGTATCAGAGAGGAGTTGGGATTTTATTTTAAATGAGACAGCAAGGCACTAAAATGTTTTGAGCAGAGAAATGACACAATATAATTTACACTTTCCAAGACTGGGATATGAAAAGCTGACCACAGGGCTGTAAGATTGGACCTGAGGAAATCAGTTTTGAAAGCTAGAGTAATTGCCCAAGTGATACTAACGGGTGCCGAGGCAACAGCAGGTGAGACAGTAATAAATAACAAAGCTTGAGACACAGTGGAAACACAGCTAATGGATCTGTGGTAAAACTTAGATTTTTGAACTGAGTGCAAATTGAGGCACCATTAGTTGAACTGAAGAAGGATGGAAGAATAACAAGCTTGAAGTAAAAAACAAACAAACAAACAAACAAACGAAAAAAAACAACGAGTTTTTTAGTTTTATGCGTGTTAAATCTAAGACATGTAGTAGATAAAAAGTCAAGAAGAAATTCATTTCAGGCAGGGTTAGGGCTAGGAGTCAATATTAGCAGAAACCAATATAGAGGTAGTGTGTAATACCATATGACCCAATGAAATGTCTTAGGGACTACCTATGCAACGGACATAGGTAAAAGAAGGGTGGGCACTGAGTCCTAGGGTCCTTTTACCCAGAGGTCAGGAAGAAGAACCAGTGAAAATTCTGGCATTGAGGGAAGAAACACAAGAAAAAACATCATAGAAGACAAGGAAATCAAATGTTTAAATAAAGATGGGGTGAATGACCAACTTTCAAAACTGCTGAAGGCTGAATAAAAACATTGTATTAAGAAAGAAAATTCTTATGAAAATGTCAATCTAAATTCAGCAATTACTGATGTGGAAAAATGAGGTTATGATAATTGTCTTAAAATATGACTTGAATGCTTTTACATGAAAATCCAATCATTACCCTGAAAGGAGTAACACTTAGATTCATATGGGTTTTCTTGTTAACTAGAGATCTCCCTTACACATATACACAAACACAACACATAAACAACACACACACACATACACACACACATACACACACACACACACACACACACACACACACACACACACACACACACACACACACACCAGTTCAGTCAAAATGCCAGCCTCTTTGAAAGAATTTCAATTACTCCTGAAAGAATTTCTTCTACTGCTGAGAACTTTATCACCTGTTCTATGTGTCATGTTCACAAAATATACATTCACAGATGACTAACATTGCCTTGGGTCAAATTCTGAGCCACTGGTAAATCTATTCCGATCACTATGTTATTATAATGCACCATTTGTACTGAAGTAAAAGCCTCAGTGTTCTACTTTGCACTCTGGCACTAATTGCATTTCTTTAGACCTTCAGACATTTGGGAACACTGGTGACTAACTGTAGGGTATGTCTTCCCTGAAGAAACATGAACATTTAAAATCAAGGCTAACTTTCCCTATCATGTAACATGTTCTACATAAATTATGCCTGATTTGCCAGGGTACATTTAAAGAATGTGTTCAAAGAATATATAAAACAATAATAGTCGATGTAAAATCTTGAATAAAAAATAAAATACAATAAAAAAAATCCAAAAGGAGCTGGGTATGAGTGTGCACCATAAATCCCAGTACTTGGAAGGCAGAGGCAGGAGGATCTCTGTGAGTTTGGGCAGCCCGGGTTACATAGTGAGAACCTGAATCAAACCAAACAAAATAAAACAAACACAAAACAAAACCCAACCTAACTGGACAGAAACTGTAGTAAATTCCTGACTACTCATGTCAGTAATCCACAGGTTTTCCATGGAGATGACTAGATTACTGATGGCCCTCTGAATGGTGGGAGGTCATAGTAGGCACTCGAGGGTTGAGTTACATTAGAATGAAGACATGATTTGGGCATTTGAAATTGAGTTTTCTTATTTGAAACTGAAGTGCTATTTGTTGTTCAGAACCAATGAGGGGAGCACAGACTCAATGCACAGTGGTTCACATGATCAATTGTTTTTAATCCTTTAGTAACCAAAACTTAGGCCAGTTGATTTTCTTGTCATTTCTTTCCCTATACTATCAAAAATGATGCTTTCTTTACTATTTCAAACTCATCAGAAAATCGCTAAAAATCTAAAATTCAATTTGCCACATTACTGCTAATTTGAATAATGGCTGAATAAAACACAGGAAACGCTGAAGCAGCATTGATTTCTAAAACATTTTGCACTTTTCTCCTCCATCCCTGTAAAGTAAAGCTTGGATGCTACGCACAATTACACAAGAAAATCAAGAAGGCCATTACATTCAGCATTTTGTCATGATCACTGTTACCATGGCGAAGAGTAGGCGTAGTTTAGCACAGCTGCCACGGGCGAGATCTGCTGGCCTTTTGTAAAGCTGAGTAACATTATAATGCCAAATTCGATAGCCTCCCACCCACACCCACACTGTTTGTTGCCTGCAGATGCTACCATCTCCTTCCTTGTGATCGGGGCCTGTGTCATCTTATTACTATATTCTTACTGTTGGCCAATGCCAGAAGAACACAGTTAATTTAGAAAGGTTGCCACCTGACCCACCTCTTGTTTTCCTGGAGGAAAACACATGGTGTGAAAACAAGAATGCAATCATAAAAAGCCAAAGATTCAACAGTTACATTGCAGATGACAATGATTTGTGTTAGAAATGAAATGGATGGGGGACAGAGATAAACACAGGCCTGAGATAGCTAGCAGAGTAACAAACTACTTCCTGTCTCTGAGTTTCAGTTTAGTTATCTATATAATGGTGGGTAAAAGTAACTTCTTGGCTGGGAAGATGGCTTAATGGAAAAGTTTTTCTACACAAGTGTTGAGACTGGAATTCAGATCGCCAGCACCTAGGTCAAAGCCAGGCAATCGGGAGGTAGAGATGAGATCCCCAGGATAGGCTGGAATCAGTGAACTTCAGTCTCAGTGAGACCCTGCCTCAATAAATAAACAAAGTGGTGTGTTACTCAGGAAGACCACCCAATGCCAACTTGGGGCCTTCACACTCACGCTCACATATATGTATATATTCCTGCACATACTCATATGCACCCATGTAATATAGACATGTCTACACATATGCACACGCACCACATACCACACACACACACACACACACACACACACACACACACACACACACACTTGTGACCTCTCTGTAAGGATTAACTGAAGTAACTTTCAGGTCTAGGCACACAGCAGGTATTTGATACATCTGTTTCCACTTGTACACCTTTAATTGTGGAGATTTCTATCTCATCAAGACGGTTATAGAAATTGGTAAGTAAACTGTTTGCTAGTGTTGTAATGTAAAACATTTGCATTTTTCACATGGTTTGAATATTGTCTTCAGAGGCTTGGAATAAATTAATTTTTATAGTCTAAAAGGAAGCATAAATTCCACATCAAAGGACAAAAATCCAGTGTCTATATCATATTATGCACCACAGCTTGTTATCCGTATTTTAAGTGACACTAATGTAATCACTGTAAAGCATGAAATAGACTATACCAGTTTTGACCTTAAGCACAGATTTTAAGTTTTAAAAGAATGAAACAACAGTACGAAAGCAGAGAAGTTTAAATTATCTGAAATGAATACATTAATCAGAGTCTGTATTTACTAGGGGAAAAAAGGCTCCTAGCATTTTTACCAGCTAAACAAAATATTTTTTTTCTAATGAGACTTCAGCTGTGTATCGTTTATCTTAAGAGAAAAATAATGGGACCTTACCTATTCCAGTAGCTCCAGAACTGGCCATGCAGGTAGGCGTGGTGGCTACATTCATCACCAAATGAGGCTTTGCTTTCAATCCAGTGAATTATGTGCCCTTCCACAGCTAAGGGACAAAGCATTACTAATACACGGCGAAGGAGAGGGAAGATTGAAAATCCTCAGCTATGCACTGGCCTCTCTATGTTTCACATTAATGAGCAGGGATTTAGCCTCTGCCATTCATTGTGGGCGTAATTATAAAACAACAAGTTGTGTGAGTTCATCACCAGGCACACGGGTGCCACCACCTCATCCTGTTGTCTTCAGCCCATTCTTCAAAACTCTCTTTCTAAGTGCTCAAGATGCTGTTCTGCAACTCGACAAGTGCCATGTCAGAGAAGACCAGAAGTGTGCCTGGCTGTCTGGCAAAAAAATGTGTATTCGAAATTCAAAAATCTAGAGAAATGAGTTGAAAATGGCATCTTATAATGCCGGTAGGAGGCATGCTCATTCCTCAAGTACATGGCAAAGTGTTGAGGCAGAGGCTTCTTCTGAACCAACTATGAGATGATTTAAGATAGCCTTTCCAATGGTTTTACCTATTTCAGCATGGTGTTATAAAGATAAGCCACCCTAGAAACATTTGCTAATGGTAATGTGTGAAAATCAATCCCCTCTATACAAAGATGTGTATCAAACTGAAGAACTTACCAACTGGCACCTGTAAAATGAAGTCTGGTGTTTTGTCATAGCCCTTTGCACGGAGCTGATCTTCATCTGCAGGAAGAACAAACACTATCATTTATTGCGGCACTCCATTAAAAAGACAGCAATATAATTGCTTTTCTTTCTTAAATATGTGTAAAAATTACTAATGCAGCCATACGTGTCTTTCTTATGCATGCAATGCCGTGTCAGAATAAATGAATTTTCCTCCCAAACCTGAATCAGAGATATAAGAATGCTTCTTTGTCCTTTTTGCATTTTTATGTCTTTATTATAAACATCATTAATCCAAACTGTCAGGAGCTACTTTTTTTTTTCCTTTTTGGTAATTGAAAATTCTCAAAATAAATATACTTACTGAAGGAAAGAAAAGGAATCCGCTAGTGTCAGCAGTCAATATTGACAGTTTACAGTAAGGCGGAAACACAGTGCCATTGCAATCACAAAATAAATGCTTTCTTAAAACAATCAAGAAAGTCTAGTTTCAATTAATATAACTATTCCCATACATAAGAAAAGGAGAAAAAAAGTAGAGATCACCATAATTAGTCATCTTGCTTAGTTCCTTAAGTATACAACTGTTTGTGGCAATTAAGAGTTTGAAAGTCTGCAGCATATACTTCTGAAAAGCAAACAGGCTTGAAGATATTTTCCCTATCTTTTCAGTTTCTTCTGTAAATATCAATGATCGCTGTTGGAGGGGAAGAAAGCAGAGAAATAGGAACCAAGATAAAGTTGGAAAAATTAGCAAGGGTGCTTGATTTAAACACACACACACACACACACACACACACACACACACACACACACACACACACAGATACACACACAACCTCCCAGTGTTTTCTAAATTTTTTTGCTGCCCTTGACTTCAATGGCATTACAATGTGATTTCAGAAATCTGTTAGATTCTGGAGTGACCTGGTCATTCAATTCCAGGCATGGCTTTCTGTCTTCACCCAACCTCAACTAATGGCTCGACCAAGTAACAAGGAAGGCCGAGTGGTCTCTTAACACCTATTGGGCTGTTGACATTGTCATGCATCCCATTGGCCTTCCTGCATCAACTTTGATTAAAATTAATGGCCCATTCCCAGTGTTGGGTAGCTTATTTCCAATCCATTTGTCAGCCCAAGACAGTGGTTTCATGGCCAGTGTTGAGAAGCTCTGTTTTAGAGCATTCTTGTGTATATCCTGAAAGGTCAGCATTTTAAACATAAATAAGCTTTAATGAGAAGACAGACATTAAAGTAGGTATCTAAATGGGATGCTGTTAGAAGCTAGTATTTTTACTCAGAAGCTAGTATTTTTACTCAGATTCTGAATGCTTAATCCTAGGATTCAGAAGTCTTCCCTCCTGGGAATATAACAAAATAAAAAAATAAAATTTCAAGCTGTTGAAATAATGAAATACAAATCAAACTAATTTTAATTGTAACACGAACGAACTTTTGAAATTGGACTATTTCCAATTTGAAATTGGAAATAGACTAGAAAAGTCTCTACCCTTTAACTTTATGCTGACCATGAAAAACAGTAATTGAAAAGGTATTTATTCAAACCAACCCTAGTGTTTCTGGCAATGTTTTAAGTAAGTGATGAATAGTTTTAAAAGCTGGTTGACACTAAAAAAGATAGATGATATTTTATTAAAATAATCCTAGTTTCATCAGCCTTTGTAGATGTTAATAATTTGTTTCAGAAAGAAAAAACAATTATGTTTTTGACAGCAGCTTAAAAAAAAATAAAAAATAAAAAACCACCAAGCAACCCAACCTATAAGTTCAGTTAAACCCCTTAGAAGGTGAACCATACTCTGCTCACTACACTGCAATGAAATGCCAACTACATGGCATTTCTAATGTGAAGTTCTAAATATACTAGTGAGGCTAGGTAGGGAATGTATCCATCCTTTTGTATCCATCCTTTTGTAGAGAATTCCAAAGTACCAAGGGATACAAAGTCTCAGTAGGTCTGTCTGCCTTTTCTTCCCTCTCCCCTCTCCTCCTCCTTCCATGTTCTCAGTATCCTTCAAGTTGGTCCTATTGTGACTGAGTCTTTACCACTGTTTCCTATGATAAGAGGTTATTCAAAACATCTGAAATGCTCTTCCCTTTACTTACTAACCCTCATTGCCATAACACTTCTATTTTATATCCCTCCCCCATGTAGTGGTTTCCCAACCCCTTTATATTTCCTTAGGGAGGGAGGGAACAAATTAAAAAAGTTCAGAGGAAGGAATAATGAAAGTGGAAGCAGAGGCATTTGTGAAAAGGCAGCTCACTGCCTCATGGAAGTTTCAGTCATTCCAATAGGTACTTTGAAGGCCTGTCTATCTGGCCCAGCTTCCCATCTTCTATATTATGTTTCTTCCTTGGGCCCTTGGATTCCTTCTTAATGGGTTCTATGCATTAGACCATTATCTAAACCTCTGGGTATAGACATAAAATTTGGTTGGCCTTACTCCATTTACAACTTAGGGATCTGAAGTTCTGAGCCTTGCTTTACCCTCACTCTTTCTACCCATTCTGTGCTGGCTCCTTCACAGTGATGGTGCCGACAGGGTCATACACACCGTTGGTATTGCTCTGGGGACTATACTCTCTGTTGTCCCTCTCACTACCAGCATACACTCCACACATATTTGGTTCCAAGACAATATTTATGTTTTGTATAAAGCCTAACTACAAGGTGGTGATGGCGCATGCCTTTAATCCTGGCACTTCGGAGGCAGAGGCAGGCAGCTCTCTATGAGTTCAAGACCAGCTTGTACCACTGAGCAAGTTCCAGGATAGGCTCCAAAGCTATACAGAGAAACCTTGTCTCATAGCTACAAAGAGAAACCATATCTCAAAAAAACTAGAAGGAAGGAAGAAAGGAAGGAAGGAAGGAAGGAAGGAAGGAAGGAAGCCTACCTGCCTATACAGGTGATTTTCTCTCTCTCTCTCTCTCTCTCTCTCTCTCTCTCTCTCTCTCTCAATTTAACTCCTTGGGCATAAACAAAGCACAGAAGCAGTGAAGTTGGTCCAAAGTTTGAGGTTTCTTTTGAAATTTCTGCTGTTATTACAAATGTCTGCACCTCATTTCATTGCAGCTGTAATGGACAATAGTGACCCTTTTCCTTCATAATTTTTTCTTCCATCACTAGTGTTTTAAGTAATGCCTCCCTTATCAGGTCTTTAGATTTGGGCAGAATTTCTCCACAAACCCATTTTGTACTAGGGACTATGCTATTATTTGGTAGTCGTGATCACATTCCTACTTCTTATCTGACTATTGATCTGTGCAGATTTCCTCTCTACTATAGACAGGTGTGCAATCTACATTTTCCCCAAGAACCATACATTTCCTATGGGTTCTGCTTTATACACACTTTAGCTAACTAGGTACTTAGGATTCTTGACTCTCCCTAGAAAAAACCAGATGTCTGAAATATATACTATCTTGTCAAAGACAAAGGAGAAGAAAAAAATAGTACTAGTTAAGAGAGGAGAAAAGTGAGGGCAACAATCTGAAATTGCACTTTAGTACACACGCCCTACCTTGCCTACCAACCTCCCTCAGTGAACACAGCAAATAGGCAGATACATAAACCTATGCATTTCACAGCTTCTAAACTCATTAATCTCATGGCCCAAGGTTTATCTCATGGCCCAAGGTTTTATCATCCAAATGAATATAGCATTATTAATATGAAGAATTATAGATAACCAGAATGTCATTAAACAGCATTTCTGTGCTAGAAAAGTCTTATTGACAACTAGTCCCACATTCTAATTTATATATCTTAAAAGAAGCCCAGAGATGTTCAGTTGTCCACCATGACCTGGACTTCTCAAATAGCAAAGAGAGAGAGCCCATGCCAACCAAGTCCCATTTTGTTCCTACACCTCTACACCATTCTTAATTATGTCAATAATTAATCTGGATCATGTGTATTCCTTATGAAGAGTGGGGGATGCTCTTTTTCATCATGGGTGATTGGTAGAGGACCACCTGTCTGAAAACACTTGGAAGACTCGATAATCTTAATTTCCAGAGCTTCCGTGGTCCTTCTGTCATGACATCTCAAAACTCAACAAAAGTCTAATCTTAATTTCCAGAGCTTCCGTGGTCCTTCTGTCATGACATCTCAAAACTCAACAAAAGTCCATCGACAGATGAAATGGATGTTCATTTTAAAAACTACTTTTAAACATTATTATTTCAATTGTAAAAAACAACACAGATCTCTGTTTATTTTTACATTGTCAGACCTGTCCTTAAGTGATATTATAAAAAAGGATTACATATGCCAAAAGAACATTGTGAATACTTAATTTCTCTGTCCTTTGAGTTATCTCTTTGAAATACCCAAATGAGCTATTGATTACAAAATTTCTTTGCTTAAAATAAAGGGCTGAGATTCAGAGAACAAGACACATCTGAAACTAGTGAACATATACTTATGAATCATATTTAAAACTACTAGAAAATATTTTCTTTAATTTATACTGTTTTATTAAAATATTTTAAGACATTTCCCAAGAAATTATGAAAAATTCCAGTTTGCAACATCCAAAAATTAGGAGTAATACTCTCAAGTGATCCATGAGTATGAAATAAAATACAACAAATAATATTTTTAAAAAATCCTTTAAAACCTTGTATCTCATTCTAAATTCAGAGAGCCCAAAGTCATGCATCAATGCATATTAAAACTACAGTATATCTCTTCTACTCTAGTATTTCATGTGCTTGGACCACTGGTTTTTTTTTTTTTTTTTTTTTTTTGACCTTTCTTCTCTATATGTTCCCTGAGAACAAGTCTCGAGCCTTTTCTACTGAAGGCATCAGCAGAGCTTCAATAATGGTTGCCATTATAATATGCAAACTGTCCAAAAGTACACCTAACACACATGTAGTGAACTAGGAGATTATTTCACACAGAAATGAAATCTTTACCCAACCCCAAATTTCATTACAGCCATTAATTTCAACTTCTTCCCCCAAAGCTTCTTCTCAAAGCCACTAAGGACTGCAACTGACTGCTCTGACCTTGTCCTCTGTGT